AGACATTGAGTCCAATCAAAGGCCACGACTCGAATGATGAAGAAGTCGTTGGCATCATGAAGAATCTGCTTTTCAACATCATGCACGGTATTCCCGTGAACTATCATGATTTCTTCATGAGGACTTTGGCAAACATTGCAATGTCCCCATTTGAGTTGAAGCCTTACGCTCCCTGGATTATGAAATTCCTCGGATCAAGGTCTTCACTCAACTACAAAGCTGATACACTCAACCATGGCAGCTACTTGCCGCCAATTGAAGTCCTCAAACGGACATTTTCCTCAACTGATGAAAAGGGTAAGGCCACTGTTGTTATTGATGAGGGCATTCGACCATTGGATGGATAGTTTCGCAAAGCTGCTTCATACTCCACCAATGATGACTCTGCTACTCATGATTCTGCCGCTAATGCATCCAAGCAAAGTCCTCAGGCAACAACTCCAAGGGTGATGACTGATCGTGAGCTTCTCCTCAGTCTTCATCAAAAGATGGATCGCAATCACAAATGGTAAAACATCAGTTTGGTTCAATTCTTCATAACATGACTGCCACATATAATTCAGTGTAGAAGAACCATTACTACCTTAATGAAGTGTTTGATCGCACCTAGGCTATATTGTCTCACCTTTACGGTGACGAGGATCTCAAGCAGATGGGCTTCAAGCAGGACTTCGGCTGGGCTAAGCCTCCCCCGAAGAAATTCAAGAAAGTTGCAGTTCCTTCTCTGGTACCTAGTTCATATTCCTCATCCCGTGATACTGATGAAAATGAAGATCTGGACGACACTGTGACAGGCCCTTCTCCAACAAACGACCCCAACAACGCTGACGCTCCTCCATCGACTTCATGAAGAAATTCTTCAGGGGCATTAGTTCTCACTTTTCGTCCCTTTTGGTCATTTTATGACAAAGGGGGAGAAATTTTAGTTAGTCTTCAAACGGGTCTATATATATGGGTGTTTTTTATTAAGTTGCAACTCTCGCTCTTCTGAAGCTTTTGTTGATTGAGTTGTAAACTTAAGTCCGATGGTGACCTGATACTTTTGCTCTGTTTTCCTGCATGCTATTTCCTCATTAATATTATGCACGCATGCTGAATCACATCTGTCACCATATTTCATCATGCATTTCAAATTCTTCATAACTATATGTTAAATGCGTGTATGAATTATAAGATATAGGGGGAGTTCTCCATGATTCTACTCTTCAAACGTGCATTGCTTCAAAAGCAAATTCCTCACTATGCACATCTTCAGGGGGAGTTCTTCTATATCTTGCAATCAAATTCCTTAATATTTAGTACTTTCAATTCATATGTTTATCCCCTTTGAAAACTTAACCTATATTGTCATCAATCACCAAAAAGGGGGAGATTGTAAGTGCATCTAGTGCCCCTTAGTGATTTTGGTGTATTGAAGACTTATAGGTTAAGGGACTAATATGTTTGTGAGTATACACAGGCTCTATAAGTCAATGAGGAGTTTGATATTTACAGTGAAAGTTGACCCCTAAAAATGAATGTCTTCGGCTGAAGACTTTGGTTTTCCTGAAGACTTGGAAAGTGAAGAAATTGGTGTGACCTTGAAGACTTCGATATTCATGCGAGGAATCTGAAGCGTGAAGACTTTTGTTTTCGTAGTTTCATTTTTCTTCTTCTAGAGTCATAGGAAACACCGTATTGTTAAAGGGGGTCGAGGTAATACTAAGGAAATATATTTCCAAGTGATGCTCATCTCAAAATCCTACACCTACCCAATCCTTCGAGTGAAGCCATTGGAAATCTCATATCAGTTCAGTCAAGTTCTTCAGCGACAGAGACGAAGATCTTCTGGTCTCTGAGGAATTTGTTCTGACTGAGGAGTTGGGAATTCGCCAGTGCGGATTGCCTACACAGTGAGGAACATGATAGCCCTGAGGAATTCGAACCTCAAATCCGACCGTTGTTGTGCCGCGCGCCAGCTGTCCCAAAATATCCTACCACCTAACGGTCATATCAGACAAGGGCATTTATGTCTTATCATGTCGGGCGGCTCCTAGGCTATAAATAGTCGTCCCCTACAACCACTAGCTGGTTGGCTGCTCCGAGAGAAACTGACACTTGTCATTTGAGAGCATCCCATCCTCCGAGGACTTTGAGCGAAAATCATCAAGTGAGGAAAACCCAAATCCCAAACTCAAACCTACAAACCCCAAAGTGATTGAGCATTACTGAAGAGATTGTTCCTGTGTGGAACCGACGCTTGTTACCTTTGAGGACTGTGTATCCTCCAGACGGTTAGGCGTCATGGTCTGAGCATCCAAGAGGAATTGTGGATTGCCGAGTGACCAAGTCTGTGAAGGTTTGTAAGTCACCTATGAAGACTTACCACTACTGTTGGGCGAGGTCTGTGTGATCTTAGCTCAAGGAGAATACAACGAGGACTGTGTGTCCGGGACTGTGTGTCCTCGAGTTTAAATACTCAGCTGCTCCAACCAGACGTACAACTGTCACAACAGTTGGAACTGGTCTACCAAATCATTGTCTTCACCAAGCCTATTGGTTCTATTTCCTCAACCCTCTCATTTCCTCAGTCATGTGTTGATGTACCTGATCATTACTGTTTGAAGACTTTGACTGAAGACTTTCTCTAATTCCTCAATCCTATCTCTTCAGTCTGTTTGTCTTCTTCCTGCTTATCCTGTGCTTACGCTTTCTGTACTCTGTGTTTGTCTTTCATTTCATCATGATGACTATGTTGTTGCTCTGTTATGCTTATACCTGAGTACTTATTCTGCTGCAAGTAGTTCTTCGTTTAGAAATTTCCTCACCCTGAAATTCCTCAGTGAAGAATTCTTAAAAATCGCCTATTCACCCCCCCTCTAGTCGACGTAACGCACTTTCAAGTTGTATACCTTCCGAATTTGTGGTGCTCTTAGAAGATACATTTCAAAACATTTTGTGCACTCAAAAAGGAGGGTGAAGCCATTATGTTTTGGTCTTCACGTAAACTTAAAGGCTTCCAAAAAGGTTAGGTAGCTTAAGTTTATTTATCATAACAATTCAAGATGGATATGGTTATTCATTTTTCTTTAACTTACTTGTATATTTAGTTCTTTTCCTTATGCATGGTGGGTGAAAAAATAGGAAGTACATATTGATTTTGTTCAAAAAGAGATGACAATCTAAAGAGTGGTGGCTTTAATTATTGGTATATAAGAGAATTATTCAGCATGGTCAAATGAAAATTATGTTATATTCAACATGATTTTTCATTTGATAATTATTTAGGCTTTTAGTAACAATATTCATATAGAAATTGGTCAAAGTTGAATTTGAAGATATATTGTTTTCATGTCTAAAACATTGTGTATTTTAGTATGAAGTAAGTATGCTCTACTTGGTAAACCTCTGCGATTCTTTTTAAAGCTTATCACTGCTTATCACTGTGAAAATCAATGAGGCATGCAGAATGTAATCTGATTACAAATTTGTACTCAAACATAATATTTATCGAACACAATGGAATTGTGACGTTACAAAAGATACTCTGAGATAAGTCTGCATATATGGTTTTCAGGTATCAAGATTAAGCATTTAAAATAGATAAAAAATTATACTGATGAGGACATCCCTACTGCTACTACAATTAGCTCCACTACCCCTACAATTACACTGCTCAAGTTTCATGAATACGAGGACCTAGTAAGAGGGACATGTATCTGGAACATGATCAACCATGGCGTGGAGTCAAACCCACACAAAAATGAAGACAATGCTTTAGTGAACATTCAGTTATGCACTTGGACATTCTTTTTCGAAACGAAGACAAAATTTTTGCCTCATCCATTAATTAAGAAGAAGAAATTTACCCGATTAATTCACGGAACACCGTTACGAACTTGGTCAGGAAAGACAACCAAGCCACAATCCCATGATGCAAGCAGACTACTCCCATATCATGAGGACACAAGACCCAACACACTACCCCTATAACCTGTCAGGCACATGCGACTCATCCTCACAAAACGGCCCCCACAAAATAAGTGGAAAGAAAGACATCGTCGAGCAACCAGCAACCACGGACGCCTTTCCTATAGCGCCCAACATATAAGGATGACACTTAATAATTGTGTCCAAAGTTGTCCATATGTTTGCACGTTTATTTTTAAGACTGGTCAGTTTTTGGAGTCTACACAATGTGTATTTAGCTTACTCTAAACTACCCTGCTTTGCATTATACTCTCTCCGTTCCTAAATATTTGTCTTTCTAGAGATTTCAAATGAACTACCACATACGGATACATATAGACATATTTTAGAGAGTAGATTCACTCATTTTGCTCCGTATATAGTCACTTGTTGAAATCTCTAGAAAGACAAATACTCCCTCCGTTCGGAATTAGTTCTATAATTCCGAACAGAGGGAGTATTTGGGAATGGAGGGAGTAAATGCCAACAGTTCCCATCAGCCAAAATCACAAAATCACAGTAGACCAAACAAAGAATCAACAACGACAACTCAACCAAATTTCACTGATACGACCAAAACCTTAAACTCGTCTCTCATGGATGAGAGCGGTGCACATTTCACAGTTGAAATACTATATAGTAGAAAGAATAGACATAGGTAGCAGAACATAATCATGTTAATTCAGTTTGGTCGTGCATTCCCTTATGTTCTCAACGTCAACTTGCCTCAAACCTGTGTGGGACAACTCGAGCACTTTGTTTCTCATAAGACTACATTCAGTGACAAATCAACACTCAAAAGAAGAAGAAATGGAATACAATACCCAAGGAGATTCAGAAACATTGTATAAACAACAGTAATTTACAGTTCCATGGATAACACAAGCAGGAAAGCAATGTTATGGGGGGCAAATGGAATCTGATCTGTACCCTCCAGAGCGCCTAATAAGTGAAGATGCCATTAATATGCAAAGAATGGATACATACTCTAATCATTGAGATGTTATGGAAGACCAGACAAATGATATGGAACAACAACCAGTAAACTTGTACTATTCATCTGGGGGCAATATCTGTATCTGTACAGGAACAAGTTCCGTTATTCTTTTGTCACATAGACATCTATGAAGCACGCCTCTGTCGCTGGCAGACTTCCCAGCGAAGCCCTGCATCACTAATCACCACGTTAGTGACAAGATATGAGTAGCCATGGCTGAGCAAGCATGATAAAAATGCAAGCAGAAGCCTTTGGTCATGAGAAAATAACAGATGATGGTTGCTTGAAGCTAGAGCTGGAAGCGCCTGCTTTGTTTGGTGATGTTATCATCTTATCCTTTGAGATGGCATTGCCAGCTGCCAGCTCAGAAGAATTCGGCCGCTGGCTGTTTTCACTGTGTTGTGGCCTGGCCCAGATTTTGATTAGCCCCTCGCGGCATATGGTGACGATCGATTCACTGGTGAATTCTAGGCCAGAAAGGGGATCAGCATGTACTCTGTGTGCAACGAGGGGTGAGAGCTTAGGTACGTCTCGCATCCGTGGAGACGGTTGAAGAACACCAGTAGGAGGAGGACATGCACTGTCCCAGTGTGCAGAAGGGCTTCCACTGCTAAATGTCGGGGAGCCGCTGGAAGGATGTCGAAGTGGCACAGCAATCTCATCCATTGCCAAATCCCAGAGAAGAAGTTGGGTGTCCTGAGGGCATGCAAAGGTGAAAATACATTATTTCCAGTACTAACCCAGTAGGAAAAGCAATGCTAAATGGTAGCTGAAGCATAGACCACATGGCAGTAGCACATCTTATGCCCAAGACAAAATCATGGAACCTCAAGTTGTAATACTTGGTCAAGAGTATATATATATCCAACGCCAGAGCTTAACAATAAATATACAAAACAGATAATAAACCTATTTCGAATTCAAGATACATGAAATACAATGTAACTTATTTGTGATACCCAGTCCCTCATGAACAAGTGGTAAGTGGCACAGAGTGTAGCACAACTTTTTAACCAAAAAACTAGTGAGACACATGAACTTGATTCATCAAGTCGGTAAGAATACTAATGAACAAGAAGCAAGCATGCTCATTTTTCACAACTGCAAGTCACCTAAGCAACCCAACAAGTAACCAATACAAAATGCAGATATCACTAGCATTTCAATCCTTGTCGGTATCACAAGTATATCAGGAAACAAACAGATTATTCTATGATGTATCATTATGATTTCCGTTAGAATAAAAACCATAAAAATTACAATTAGACCCAGATTAAAAAATTCGTTCATTCATATTTACTGGTACCTGGCCAACAGAACCAAAGCGATACATGACATTTTCTCCTGCGTCATCAGAACTTGGGGGGGACCAGTACGAATCAAAGGCAACTGAGCTAACCTGCAAAACATAAAAGGAGAACTGCATCAAAATAGAAAGTTCCGACAAAAGCATCAATATGCTGCTAAACAAAAACAACTGTAATGATAGTAGCACCCATGATGTATGCCCCTCGCCCCACGCAACCATCTTTCTGTCATCCATGCTCCATACTTGCACAAGATCATCTTCCCCACCTGATAATATATATTTTCCATCCGCACTGTAACAGGAGAGCACAAACAAACCAAATTATTAACATCTTCAAGGGCACGCTATTATACAATTATGTGGTAAAAACGTTAGCTTCACAAATCACAACTGTTGTGAAATGGCACAAATAAATCCAATTACATCAGGAAAATTGTACAAGCAAGACTAGCTATGTTGTGACTACATGCAAAGTTATAAGGGATGCAAGTATACATCACTACTTAGAATGTTACACGATATTCATCAAACTTCCTGTGAAACCAAATAAGAAAATAATCCAACAATGTCAGGACAGAGAAGGCCAAAAGAGCCTTGAGTATCAATATGAAATTTTGATGCAATGTTGTATCAGACGATGATATCTTTAAAGTTTGATTCCATGACATCTCAAAAGCTGGGATTCCAGACGCTTGCCATAACAAGGTAGTCAATCCATGTACAAAAGCATAAGCAGAAGTGCCAAGTCAACACAACTTTCGATAAGCAGGTGGACAATAACGAACTTCCATATTATACAGTATATACCATCAATAATGACAGTAATTTGCTAGCAACCAAATCAGGCAAACTTTCAGTATAAGATCTTTCAACTTTCAACCATGTGCTGTGTTTCCAAGAACTTGCCCCTATTTATCGCCAGCAGAAATCATGGCTAATTGTACAAAATGTGCCACTATCAATCCGTGTCCCTTCAGTTTCTTATCGTTAATTAAAAACCTTACTTGGTAGCCTGCAATTGTAAGTTCTTATCGAGCAACTAACAAACATCATCTCTAGATGCAGACACATTGCATTCTATATGATGAACGATTGAAGTTTAAGATTAACTTAATATATAATCCAAAAAATGACAAGCATGCTGCACCAAGTCACCGACTATGTTTCTACTAGTTTTCTATAGAATATCCATCACAGCAACACTTAGCTACTTCTCTTGCACCGTTTCATATGTAAAATTGGCCGCTTCTTATGAAGATCTAAAAAGGTAATTTACAAATGGTGTTATGTGATTCACAGATCAAACAAGATTACAAGAGGTAAACTCATACACAATCCTAGAATAATCGGTCAATAGCAGAGATGCAACTGTGCAAAACAGATAGGAAATATGAGTTTATGTTTTCGTGAACATCATATCTGAACTACTAGTTAGTACTCCCTCCGCCCCAAAATATAAGATCATTTTTGACAGTATCGTAGTGTCAAAAATGATATTATATTTTGGGACGGAGGAAGTAAAAGGTAGGTGCAGGCATGCAACAAAATTGGCACCATATACCAGAGTAACAGTAAATGCAATCGGCAGTTTACCTCCATGAGCAACACAAAAGAGCACCATAGTAACTTTTCCCACCAAATATTAGTTGTTCTTTCGCGAAGTCAAATACTCTTAAATAACCTGCATACAATCGAACAACTTAAGTACAATGTATCACCAACAGGGAACCTTTATTACATGTCAATTCTCATTCTTGGCTAGACAAACTTACCATCTCGCCCAACAGTTGCCATGTAAGCTCCATCCGGCGAAAATGAAATGGCATTGATTGCACCTTGACAGATGTGCCATCTTGCAGTAGGATTGCTCTGCAGCATTATTTACATCCCATAATCAATGATAGCAGCTACAAATTTAGAATTCATCATGTTCAGGAATTTCTTGAGTTTCCTTGAATTAATGTTTTGCAGCATTAAAAGAACATAGCAAAAAATAGTAACTTCCAGGTTCTTAGTACTGGTTCCAGTATGGTCTGCTGGTAAAGTGCTGCTACTTGAGAACTTGGCATTTCCTAATATGATCGAAATAAAAACCATGTGACAGATAAACACCACTGCACTAAATACAATGCAGGTTGACCCAGCATAAGCAGTCTGTGCTCTATGTCAACTAGCAAGTGTGAGGACAGTTCGACCACATGAAGCTTGTGTTGAACGCGTCAACTACAAAGTAAGAACACGAGAATGAGCTTGTGGAAAATTAATTTTCTGCCATCTTCAACAACTGGGGCATATATGATCCGTAATACCAGGATACTGGTCTATCTTCACAGTTTATATAGAAATGGAGACTACTGGGCTATGTGTGGTCTCACATATCTACCAAGTTTGTGTCGCATAATTTCAACCATGAGATAGCAAAGAAAATAAACACACGATCAACTTAATTGTAGGAATGTAAATGTGGTGTTCCGCTTCCCTAGAGGAACTTCTCTAATTATAGGAAAGTAAATGTGGTGTTCTCTTCCCTAGAGGAACTTCTTTAATTATACAAAAGTAAATGTGGTGTTCCCCTTCCCTAGAGGAACTTTTCTTGTCGTCGAAGAAATCATGTAAAAAGGTTAAACAGTACCATCCTTGTTTCCGATACATGTTAAATTGTCATACACTTCACCGACATGAATTACACCAGAGTAATTCGAGGGTTATTGTGTCGCATGGGTGGGGCAAGCCTCATGACTCTCATACTTTGTTGCAGACATTCTTTTCCGGCATGTTATAACATCTAGTTTACATTGTTGCAGATGTTACACAAGATAATGTAGCAATTATGTCTACTTTTGCAAGCAAAGGCTATTTCAATATTTAGTTTGTGTTGTTGCAAATGTTATCTCGAATGGCACGATAGCTGACTTAAGGTTTTTGCATACATACTATTTTGCAGTGTTTCAATAAAGCATCAGAAGACGTTGGAATTTTCAAACTTATGTGTGTTTTAAAGATATTGGATACGATATTCCACAAAATGCTTTCATGTGCAATAAAACAAGATTTGACAAATATTTGCAAGGACGTATGCACACTTTATTTGTGTTCAGCATCCTTGACACAGACTTACAACATGCTGATGCTGAAAATGTTGCCATTAGTTTTTTAAAATGCTACAATACATTTAAAATGACGGATGGATCATTCTACCTTTTGAGGGATGTTACAAAGTGATAAACAACCACAGATCATAAAATCCAATAGTGAACTAAAAAATGATTATAAAACTGATATTACAAGCATATATACATCATGGATATCAAGCGAAACAAATTATTGTGTTAGTAGTCCAGCTACTGCATGTTAGCCATCGGTTTTCACAGATGCACAGGTGGTAATTATTTCCTTCAAAAAGTTTCCAGAACAAGTACCTCTCTATTACCAAATCTTTAAACATGACAGCATAAATAACCATGCCTGTACGTCTTTGAAGTGAAGAAAAAAAAATTCAAATGACATAACCATTTAAACAGAAATCAAGTGCCCTAAGATACCTTAGTGGACTTTGCATGTGAAATCATCAGCTGATTTTGATCCCTTACAGTTGGAAATGCCCAGTCAGCATTTCCATCCTTGGACTGAACATAGAAAATAATTGGTTCAGATTTGGCATAATGGAGTATGATTACGTTGTAACAAAATTTGATGACAGTAGGCACTCACTTTGTCATACACATACAGATTCCCATCAGCATTGCTGACAACAAAAATGCCTTCACGCTCTGGAACCCATGCAACACAAGTGCAGCGGCTGCAATAACAGCATCTAGTAAAGTCAAAGTTGAACTGGTTGCAAATATTCATGTCTTTTCAACCAGTATTTACATGTATATAGATAGTCCCACAACCTATGTGTAAATATTCGCTTTAGATGCTGACTAGCCAAGGGATGTATATCACCTCAGCAATTTGTAAACATTCGCTTTAGATGCTGACTAGCCAAGGGATGTATATCACCTCAGCAATTTGTAAATATTCGCTTTAGATGCTGACTAGCTAAGGGTTGTATATCACCTCAGCAATTTGTACCAGCCCCCCATCCCCGCCACACACACACAGAAGATGCTTACACTAAACCCTCCTCGCAGACTCCATAAAGAAGAGAGGAACAGGACAACTATCGAACCCACCATGGTTGGGTGGCATTAAGGGATATTCAAAACAGGGGAATGTCGACATCTCTCACATGCCAATTTGAATCAGGCAGTATTAAAAGACATGCAATACAAAGCATGTTGCCAGGCATAAAGCAAAACAATGTTTGCCACTATCGACTGAGCTCCATCAAAATGAGGTGCTCAAATGAAGTTTTCGGCCCTAGTCCTTATCCATTAATAATAGGAGCAGTTTCCTATAAGTTACAACTTCTAATAATCTAATAATGCACAAAAAGGAAACACCGAATCAGACCATCTTTCATAGTTATCCTAAAACAATAGTGTGTTCAGAATGTGGCATAAAACAAAAATATGAAGAAAAAGTTTGTTACTTGTAAGGTAATTCTCATACAAATTTATCACTTTCATTATTATTTTAAAGGAAGCAAACATGCCTGTTGGCAGTTCCATCTTTGTCTTTATTGATAAAATGCTGAGACATAACAGGCTTCTTTCCAGGATCTTGCAACTGTTGCCTCAATGACATTGAATAGACTGCACAATGGACACATATAACTCGTCTCGGTCTCAGAACAGAGTTCAATTCTAAGAATAAAGCATTCCAAAACGAAAGCACTGACCATCTCCTGACCATACTCCAACAATCAGGTCATGCCCATCTTTGGCCTCCGAGTCGAATGCATGACAAAGTGGGTTTGAGTTGCTGAAGTGGATGGACTTTACTGGATCCTAGTGCAATTAACAACTTGATCAGAGAAACGCAAGGCTGCATATTTGTAAGTAAAACTTTGGCATGCATTGGACAAGGGAACTAATACTTTATCATGTGAGTTGAGATCACTAATGAACAGTGTATCTGCGGTATTGAAGATGATGTATGTTCCCTTGCCATCGTAATTCGCCACAGCTTGAGATCCACCGACGCCCGTTGACATACCAACGCCGCCACCCACACGGCTGCTCCCTGAAACAGCCCTGCTGACACCGTTGCTGCCTGCAAAGCTAAGTGTCCGGCTCCCATTCCCGGTACCAAGCAGTCTCGCAGCTGCAGATCGCATGCCACTGCTGGAACTTGGTGTTGATGGTGTAGAGCCCTGCCCCACGGGCTTCTCCTTCAAATATGCCACTGTCATCTGCTATCGTCAAAAGATATTGATGTAAACTTAACTTTTCATAATATACAGGAATATAAATCGCAATGAAGTCGATCATCACGAAGCAAGCAAATAACTAAAACAATCCCTTATACAGTAAGAATCCCAAACGAGAAACCCCTCTAAATTCATCACACTGCGAGGTTCCATAAATGGTCACCGGTTAATACCTGCAACAGAGGACGCCCGTCTTACCAGAAGCACAGTAACCTGACCAAAAATGCCACGATCCAAAACTTACCCGAAACCCTAACTAAAACCAAATAAAACCCAACCAGATACGCGAAAATAGACGCGCCTGAATCCGGCACCTGATCAGGTCAACACCCAACGCCACAGCTCAATTCCCCATCCCATCCGAGCGACCCATCGAGATCCCAATCCCCGTCCCAACCCGCGCGCTAACCGCAAACCCCGGGACGCGATCGCCGGTACCGCGGAGTCGCCGCCCTTCATACCTCGGAGACAGTCTTGCCACCAGAGCTGTGGTTGTAGTGCAGCACGGAGGGGGAGTGGGTCTTCTCGTACTGCAGCTTATGCCGGCCCTCGGGGGTCTTGAAGTAAGTCTTGAGTCCAGGCGCGCCCCCGGCGGCACCGCCCCCGCTAGCCGACGACGACGTCGCCATACCCACGGGCACGGGCCGGCACCAGCTAGACCGCTGGCGGGTCACAGGAAGCCCCCACCTCCGCGATCGCCTCCGAAATGCTTACGCCCGCGCAGCCATCTCAAGCCTCCGCCGCCGTGACTCGCCGCCGTGCTAGGAGGCGAGTGAGGGTTAGGGTTTTGGGGGTGGTCAGATTGGGATCGATGCGACGGGGAGGCGGTTCGATTTGGGATGAGGGAGGACGGTGGGGAGACTGGAGAAACAGAGACCTGGTGCTGGTGGTAGGAGGAGGAACGGAATGACTCACCTTTTTCTTCTGCTTTGTTCACTCCTCTGAATAACTCTTTTCGGTGCAAGGACTATGGATCCAATTGCAACTATAGGAGCTAGGACAACCCCCACTTGCTGCGGCAATTGCCTGCCAATTTGATTCATGGACATGAATTATGGATTAAAAATATGAGAACTAAAATTAAAAATATATATTTGATCACGCCTGCGGCTTACGGCAAGGTGGCCCCATCTCGCCTATGTTGTTCGTCGTCGTCATTGACGTACTCAACACCATGGTGCAGCGGGTCGTTTTGCACGGGGTGCTGCAACGCCTCACCACTAGACGCACAGTATGTACCATCTCCCTTTTCACGGATGATGTCGTCATATTTTGTCATCTCGACGATCGCGATCTTCAAGTAGTGTGCGCCATTTTTCACCTGTTTGGCAAGGCATCTAGCCTGAACACCAACTTCGCCAAGTGCCTGGTTACCCCCATATGTTGCCCTCTGGATGTGTCCCTGCGTGTTGGCGAGTCCCTAACCTGCCTTGTTGCTGCCTTCCCCATAACCTATATTGGGCTTCCACTATCGGTGTGCAAAGTCCCCTCCTCGGTGCTCATGCCCCTAGTCGACAAGATTGCAGAGCGGCTGGGCACCTGGCAAGCATCCCTCATCACCCGTGGCGAGTGAGGGAGTCCTGGATTAGGGGGTGTCCGGATGCCGGACTATGACCTTTGGTTGGACTCCCGGACTATGAAGATACAAGATTGAAGACTTCGTCCCGTGTCCGGATAGGACTTTCCTTGGCGTGAAAGGCAAGCTTGGCGATTCGATATGAAGATCTCCTTCCATTGTAACCGACTCTGTGTAACCCTAGCCCTCTCCGGTGTCTATATAAACCGAAGAGTTTTAGTCCGTAGGACGAACAACAATCATACCATAGGCTAGCTTCTAGGGTTTAGCCTCTCTGATCTCATGGTAGATCCACTCTTGTACTACCCATATCATCAATATTAATCAAGCAGGAGTAGGGTTTTACCTCCATCGAGAGGGCCCGAACCTGGGTAAAAACATCGTGTCCCTTGTCTCCTGTTACCATCCGCCTAGACGCACAGTTCGGGACCCCCTACCCGAGATCCGCCGGTTTTGACACCGACATTGGTGCTTTCATTGAGAGTTCCTCTGTGTCGTCACCTTTAGGCCCGATGACTTCTTCGATCATCAACCACGACGCGGTCCAGGGTGAGACTTTTATCCCCGGACAGATCTTCGTATTCGGCGGCTTCGCACTACGGGCCAACTCACTTGGCCATCTGGAGCAGATCGAAAGCTACGCCCCTGGCCACCAGGCCAGGTTTGGAAGTTTGAACTACACGGCCGACATACGCGGGGACTTGATCTTCGACGGATTCGAGCCACGGCCGGGCACGCCGCACTGTCACGAGGGGCATGATTTAGTTCTGCCGCTGGACAACGCCCAGAGCGTCGCTCAGGTGCCCGCTCCGACCATTAGCTCGGAGCCGACTGCGCCAGTTGGGGCCGGACGGCTGGACGCCACCCTAGGAGCCGCAATCTCTACGGCGATAGAGCCGAACACCAGCCTAGTCCTTTGCGAGGCCTATGACTCCAGGATGCCGGACTCCGTTCCGAATTCCGAACCTCCCGCACCTCTTCCGATCGAACCCGATTGGGCTTCGATCATGGAGTTCACCGCCACGGACGTCTTTCAGCACTCGCCCTTCGGTGATATTCTGAATTCACTAAAGTCTCTCTCTTTGTCAGGAGAGCCCTGGCCGGACTATGGTCAGCATGGTTGGGATGCGGACGACGAAGAAATTCGAAGCCCACCCACCACCCACTTTGTAGCCACTGTCGACGATTTAACCGACATGCTCGACTTCGACTCCGAAGACATCGATGGTATGGACGCCGATGAAGGATACGACTAAGAACCAGCACCTATAGGGAACTAGAAAGCCACCTCGTCATATAACATATACATGATGGACACCCCCAAAGCAGGGGATGGCGATGAAAAAACGGAGGACGACCCCTCCAAGAAGCAACCCAAGCGCCGACGTCAGCGGCGCCGCTCTAAATCCCGCCAAAGCAAAAATGGCGAGTCCGGCACCGGAGATAACAACATGCCGGACAGTGCTGAAGACAACCCCCTCCAGCAGGATTCAACGCAGGAAAATGAAGGAGCCAGCCCTCAGGAGAGAGCTGCGGACAGGGAGGTCGAGGACGACAATTATATGCCTCCCTCCGAAGATGAGGCAAGCCTCGACGACGACGAATTCGTCGTGCCAGAGGATCCCGTCGAACAAGAGCGTTTCAAACGCAGGCTTATGGCCACGGCAAGCAGCCTCAAGAAAAAACAGCAGCAGCTTAGAGCTGACCAAGACTTGCTAGCCGACAGATGGACCGAAGTCCTGGCGGCCGAAGAGTATAAACTTGAACGCCCCTCCAAGAGCTACCCAAAGCGCAGGCTGCTACCCCAACTTGAGGAGGAAGCAACTAAACCTACATCACCAGCGTACGATGCGCCCGATCGGCCACCCCGTGGCCGCGACAGAGAGGCCTTCAGGCCCTTGACCCAAGCCGCACCCCGGCACCGCTCAAAAAATACCAGAGTGCGGGGAGACGCAACAGACCTGCGAGACATATTAGAGAATAAGGCAAGGCAAACAAGATCTATCTACGGATCGCGTGGGCGCCCTACTTCACGTGACGATCACCTTCACGCCGGATATGATAAATACGGCCAGGCCGAACACAGAAGACAAAGCTCATCCGAGCTGCGTCGCGATATAGCCCAGTATAGGGGCGCCGCACCCCCACTATGATTCACAGACGAAGTAATGGATCATCAAATCCCCGAGGGTTTTAAACCCATAAACATTGAATCATATGATGACACAACAGATCCCGCGGTATGGATCGAGGATTATCTCCTTCATATTCACATGGCTCGTGGTGATGATCTACACGCCATCAAATACCTCCCGCCATCAAAGGACCAGCTCGGCATTGGCTTAACAGCCTACCAGCAGAGTCAATTAGTTGTTGGGAGGACCTGGAATCCGCGTTCCTGGACAACTTCCAGGGTATTTATGTGCGACCACCAGACGCCAATGACCTCAGCCACATAATCCAGCAGCCAGAGGAATCGGCCAGACAATTCTGGACATGGTTCCTAACCAAGAAGAATCAAATAGTCGACTGTCCGGACGCCGAGGCCCTTGCAGCCTTCAGGCACAACATCCGAGACGAATGGCTCGCCCGGCATCTAGGACAGGAAAAGCCGAAATCTATGGCAGCCCTAACGACACTCATGACCCGCTTTTGCGCAGGAGAAGACAGCTGGCTAGCTCGTAGCAATAACATAACCAAGAGCCCTGGCAATTCGGATACCAAGGACAACAACGGCAGGTCACGTCGCAACAAACACAAGCGCCGCATTAACAGCGACAACACTGAGGATACGGCAGTTAATGCCGGATTCAGAGGCTCTAAACCCGGTCAGCGGAAGAAGCCATTCAAAAGAAACCCTCCGGGCCCATCCAGTTTAGACCGGATACTCGATCGCTCATGCCAGATACACGGCACCCCCGAACAACCAGCCAACCACACCAACAGGGATTGTTGGGTGTTCAAGCAGACAGGCAAGTTAAGTGCCGAAATCAGAGACAAGGGGCTGCATAGCGATGACGAGGAGGGGCCCCGGCCGCCGAACAACAGAGGACAGAAGGGTTTCCCCCCGCAAGTGCGGACGGTGAACATGATATACGCAACCCATATCCCCAAAAGGGAGCGGAAGCGTGCTCTCAAGGACGTCTATGCGTTGGAGCCGGTCGCTCCGAAGTTCAACCCATGGTCCTCCTGCCCGATCACTTTTGATCGAAGGGACCACCCCACTAGCATCCATCACGGCGGATTCGCCGCATTGGTCCTAGACCCAATCATTGACGGATTTCACCTCACTAGAGTCCTCATGGACGGCGGCAGCAGCCTGAACCTGCTGTATCAGGATACAGTGCGGAAAATGGGCATAGATCCCTCAAGGATTAAACCCACAAAGACAACCTTTAAAGGATTCATACCAGGTGTAGAAGCCAGCTGTATAGGCTCGATTACACTCGAAGTGGTCTTCGGATCCCTGGATAATTTTTGAAGCGAAGAGTTAATCTTCGACATAGTCTCATTCCGCAGTGGCTATCATGCCCTGCTCGGACGAACCGCATTCGCAAAATTCAATGCGGTGCCGCACTACGCATATCTCAAGCTCAAGATGCCAGGCCCTCGCGGAGTCATTACGGTAAATGGAAACACCGAACGCTCCCTCCGAACGGAGGAGCACACAGCGGCCCTGGCGGCGGAAGTTCAAAGTAGCCTTTCAAGGCAATTCCCCAATCCGGGTGTTAAGCGTCCGGACAACGTCAAGCGCGCCCGAAGTAACCTACAACAAAGCCGGCTGGCACGCTCCGAGCAAGCATAGCAGTGCGGCCCCAACCCCAGCCCTTGCCAGATGGCGATAGCGGTACCACGCGTACATAACTATGCTTTGGAAATACCATGGGCATAAGGGGAGGGGCACAACTACGGCACTCCCAGAATACGGCTTAACCGCACTATGGGCTCCCTATTCTGCCGTTTCTTTTTTTATTTATTTCAGGACCCAACTATCCGGAAGGCCTGTCCGGCAATATACTCGCCGAACACACGATGCAACAGCCAGGGAGAGCA